TAGAACGCTAGCTAACAATTATTGAAAAAAACGATTAATTGCCAGAGTAATTAGGAATCCCAATTTTTGGAGTAAATTATCTTTTCCAGATAATCCAACCGGTCCTTAAATTAAATGTACAGTAACCATTGTTATTCTTATGAAGACTCGTGTATGTTTTCATTTAAAATAGCACAGAAGAATTGAAAATTGTAGAAAAAATGTCTAATATTGAATCTTTTATCAACATTAAACTAATTACATTCAAATGCAATCAAGCACCTAGCCGGATTAGTGAAATAAAAAACTTGAGGAGTTATTACTGAGATCTCTTCATGATTCATTTTTTTTTGTTAAAATCTGGAAAACCACGAATTAAATGGATGTGAAAAAATGTACCTTTTTTCAGTTTTATCATTATTCCATGATTCACAAATTTTCAGTCGTGCGTCTATTTTTCTAGATTTTTAATAGAGCTTTGTTAATTTGTGCAAAAGTCTACTGAGAAAGTAGGGAAATTCTTCTACGATAATGTAACTTCGTGAAACCTTGAATAATAATAAAACTTAAGAACGATATATTTTTTCAGATCGATTTATCAACCGTTTCTCAGAAAATTGTAAAACACTCGAAAAATGATCACATAATAACGCGCAGTAAATCGTCTTTTCTAAGAATCCATTATAATTCTATCTACTATCAATCTACTATCAATCTAATAGGTAGAAAAACTGGGAAAGAAAAACGGAGAGCGCATAAAATAACGGGTATATGCCTTCTGGCCTTCTATAGCCTTGGCCATCTGTTTGTTTTACCTTGAAAATCATCATTTTTATATGATGATATCCAGTGATAGATGTGCATTCTATATATATATATATTAGACCATCCTTTGATTTTCGTTGTAATCCACAGTTCAATTAATTGCTCGTTTAAACTTACTCACCTCTAGTAAAAATATCCTCTGCTAAATTTTTTCACAAGCGAAATAATCACATGAATTATCAACTTCTTCTTCAATAAAAAGTCAAGTGATGGAAAGATTTTTCAATGGATAATCTCATAAATTACGACGAAAATTGATTACTCCATAGCGGATAAGATATTAAGTAATAGCAATAAAACATTATGAAAGAAAATTAATTACGTCTTAAACTGATTGTTTCCTAGTTCTTGTAAATTAAGGCCTTATTGGGGAATACTATGTTGATGATTTCCTATAATTACTTTCGATAATAATCATCTGCTAATCATCTGCGTCTAGTAGATATACATCTTCCTCCATCCTACAATTAAATCAGTAGCGAAGCGGTGAATCGATACAAGCGGACATACCTCCTCAGTGAGTTTATCAAGAATCCCTCCAAAACTATGAGAGATAGTGAAATTTTTGTAATAACCTTCTTAATAGTTCTCGATTGGCTCTACAAAAAAGCTACTAACAAAAATTTTCCTATTTGCTTTACATTTCGAGATTTTCATTAAAAACCGAAGAGTAGTGAAAAACGATTTGAACCGGTTGACCACTGGTCTATTTAAATTTCTAATGAGGCAAAATTAAAAATATCTCAATCGTCCTTATCTCGAAATATCTGCAATTCAATGTTTCTCTACAACCTTCAGGATCATCAACGATAAAAATTCTATCCTAGACGAATGGAGTGGGAGATTAGAAGAGGAATGGGAAGGAATCACACACAAGATGCATGAGATGTAACTAGACGCCACGTTATATCACGTAAATAATGAATCCCCTCTTTATCTTGAGAGAATACATTAAAATGTCTGAGAGAAAAATGTTTGCCCTCGTTGCCTCGTATGAGCCTTGTTGTGCCGTAATAGACGACTACCATCATATTGTTCAATTATAAGTAATTCTATTATTTATAAATTTTTAATGAGCAACCCCTTTTAGGGTGGGTCAGTCCATTGTCCACTCTTATTGACCCCGAAACATCCACTCCCGCTTTCATATTTTGCCATGAATTTTTTTTCAGTTTGTATTGTCATTATAATAATATAATTGATTGGCATTATAATTAAAGTTCTCATTGTTAAAATTTTCATGACATTTCAATCAAAAATCATTCGAATTCCCAATTATATGAGTTTTAATTCAATTTAAGTTCAAAACTGTCACAGAATTTTTCATTTATCTTGAAAATTCAAGAAAATGGGGGTTATCATGTTAAATGACAATTGATTTTTCAATGAAAGCTCAGAATTTCATGATCATCCTGAAAATTCAACATGACATACAATTGAATTTTCAATAAATAGAAAATTCGGGGAAATCACTGATTGACATATACCCGGTTTTTCAATGTCATATGGACCTGAAAATTGAGAATTACCAGAATTACATGAAAAAATTAACTCATTCGTAATAAAGAATTCACTTAAATTTAAAATTTTATTTGAAAATTCAAGTGTGATCTTCCAACAATGCATTATTACTACATCCACAAGATCTATAAATCACCACCTAATTGTCACGCAAATGACATCCCCACCCCCCAAAAACGTCGAACCTCAGTAATAAAATAAGCATAAAACCAATCTACTTACTTTCCAAGTTCCTCCTTGAGATCATAGTTGTCACTGAACCTTGTGCAAGCTGCTGGGGCAGCCATGCTGAATCCTCAATATTCAAAAAAACAATAATTCACTAACTTCCCCCACTCCAAACTACCGCACTCCCCAACAACAAACCCTCAACAACCCCCCCGCCAAAAAAAAACGAAAAAAAAAAATCCAACAAAATCTCTTCGTACGACTGAATAAGTCCACTCGACCGTCCGTAAAAACAGTTTTAGTCCGTGTGGGTCAAATACGATCGATAATCCTCAAAGCGTATACCGATAGTAACCCGGTGTAAACCCGGGTTCGCCTCTTATTCCTCCGTAAATTGTTTATTTCCCTCCGTCTCAACCGATCGATAAATCCCACTGGATTTAACGGTAATGATTCCAATGAAATGATCCTTTGAAAATAAATTAATGAAAAAAAATAATTCACAGGGGTTATAATTTGTGTTGTATTGTATTTGTACCTTTGAGCTGTGAAAATATTAGCGGCACACGACTGAATTATTTTAACGCGCAATGCCCACCTAGTCTGCACTGCTCGCCGGCAGACTGTCGACTGACTTACGTAGTGTACTTCGTGTACTCACACACTTGTGCCAGGCCTCCCACCCCCACTACACACCCCCACGTCAATTTTCACAAACGCGCGCAGCTCCACAAATCGACCATTATTTTTCCCGATTTTTGCTTTTTTTTAATTTTCTTTATTATTTTTTTCTCTTCTTTTCAATTGTCCCAACCAAATACAGCCGATTCACTCAATTTTTTAAACTTATTCAGAATTTTAACTTGAAAATCACTCCAACCCCTTCTTCGAGCTCTTCGATGTCTTCGATGTCTTCGAGGTGTTCGAGGTTAGTAGGGGGTTGCGATGGCGGCGGGTGCGGATATGGGTATGGGTATGGGTTTGTTTTGATCGAACTCAACACTCGAAAATCGATCGATTGCTAATACAATGTAAATACAGGGCAATCACTATTATGCAGTTTCTCGTTTCGAGTTAGCGAACGAGTTTATATTTAGATAAGGTTGAGTTTGTATCGATGCTCGATTACTACACACTTGCACCAGCGCAGTTTAAGCTCGCAGCCATCAGTAAATGTCAGAATGTATTTCTTTTTCAATTTTATTTATTTGTTAAGGTGAGTGATTTTTTTTTACACTCGCGTTTTCTCAGTGCAGTTGTTGAGCTTTTCGTGGGATTTGGAATACCTCTGGGTTCGATCCTCCACGATTACGGACTATGATTTTGTCTCACTTGGGGACATTGGGGCGCATGGAGATTTCGGATGTCTTGCTCTGATCGACGAGGGGGTGGCTTTCCGGATGCGCAAACATCCCCGGGAGGGAAGGGCGCATGCGCACGACTCGTGACGAGCAATAGAATTTCACAAAAAAATACAAGAGAATTATTGCACGCTCATGGAACATCGTGAGTCATGAAATAATGACAAACGCAAAAATGGTATATTATTTCGGTTCGGTTCAATCAACAATTTGCTGGAAAACTTAAAAAACCGGTGATGATGGCTAAAAGGGAGAGCACCTTTTTAAGTTCATCTTATCTTTTTCTCTCAATAAGGTAGATATTCCGATGCTTCACCCTCAAGAACATCACAGGGTTGCATTTGTAGGAAAAATAATGTAAAATAAGAGGGTGTTAAAGAATGAGAATAATAAGCTCTGTCATCAAGAGCAGTGTCCGGTTTCGACATTCTTTCATTCAAATGACGAATTCATTTGAATTTCTTGATGTCTAGATGGATAGAAATAGTTCAGGGAGCAATTCGAAGTCCATAAAATATCCTTCACCATCATACTCTCAATAGTGGACTTGGTTGTGTGATTCGTGCATAGTGTCTCATAAATCCGACTCACATTCTCTGCCAATTTTTTAACGTGGATGTATCGTAGACCATTTGAAAGCGCGTGGTAATTCTATACATAACAAAGGGTACACTCATAGTGGTTCAGCATGGTTCACTTCACCTTAGGGTTTCTCTTACATTAATATACATATATATATATATATATTATCGTTTTTTTTATTTATAAGACTCGTGCTATATATATATGAATCTATAGATGGATTATCGCGATGTCATTAACTCAGTGATATGTGAATGATAAATAATTTGTTAACAGTACAGATGAAAATCATTAGGTTTATTTGTTTATTTATTTTTTTTAATTAAGGCCCCGATGGATCATCTATCAAACGCGATCTTCTGTTCAACTTCTATTTTTTAGTCTAAAATATATTTACATTAAGGATCAAGTTATGTTGCGGGAACCATTCCCGATGGTTATAAAAAGATAATCGAAAAAAAGAGGAAAAATTATTGAAAAGCGCTAAATCGCGATATTGGTTGAAACGCATTTATCAATTTTACAAAAAATAAAAAATAATAAAAAATACGCGGCCTACCATTGCGTCACTCAAACCAGTTTTTTATTATTTTTTTGTAAACTTGGTAAATCACTTTTAACCATTATCACGATTAAGCGCCCTTCAATAAATTTTTCTCTCTCTTCTTTTTCATTATTTTTTTATAACTATTCGAGTGGTGCTTACAACACAAATTTGATCCCAAATTTTAATATATTTTAGGCTAACCGGATAGAATTAAAACCTAAGATCACGTTCGATGATGAGTCAATGAGGCCATTAAATTAAAATCTTGAAGATTGTTTTCATCGCTTCTGAAAGCTTCTGTTCAGAGAGAAAAAATGAGTGAATTATTTGGAATAGGAGGCAGTGAATTATTGCCTTATTGAATTATTAGGAGAAAACAGAAATAATACTTAAAATATTGATACACAATGCACGCCTCCATTACCACTTATTAAAAAAGGAATGTAAAATGGGATATATCCGCTCAATAAGACACACGAAAACGATTAACGAGTTGTAGAAAAAATATTCTACGGCAATTTAGTAAAGAACGAAAAAAAGAGCAATTACGTAGGTATTTAATTAAGGTCTTTATTTAAAAAATCGTTCCCAATAACATGCACCGAAGCCGTGCGGTTTTTTATCGCACTAGTCTCCAAAATAAGAGATGAATCCTCATTCTTTATATATTAATTCAATACCTCGACAAAGTGACAATTGTAACAGGCCCACGATTTATTCTCTATCAATTCCCAACTCTTTATATCCCTTTTCGAAAATATTTTACAGGTTTAAATGAAATTTTACGATTTACTCTTCTAAAAATTGTCTGGTTTTTATCGATTTACCGAAAATTCTTTTGATGTAAGATTTGGGTTGATTGATCAGTCGAAATTCATGAGGGATGAGTGGACGAGGAGATAACGATATCACAGGGATTTGGATTGGGATTCTCTTGAGCTAGATAAAGCTTGTCACTTGACAAATCGTAACACCAGGAATAAATTCCTAGATCGAATAGAGATGAATAACGGCTTTGGGATTCTCATGAAATGGAATTAATCAGTAAACTCCACACGTATACCATCATATAAATTTATTGATCGTGATTTTATAAATTTCTATTCATTCCATAACATTACTCCCTACAAATCCTATTATAATTCGTTATTTGATTTTAGGAACGTCCTGACTTTTACACAACATTTGATTTTACTTCAAGTTGAATGATTATGAACAGTGGTATATTACAAAAATAATTCTACTCCTCGACTTTTGCCAACCGACATGGGAATTCATAGAGTTTGAAAGAATTTACATATAAAAAAAAAATCAAAAAGGATTCTTGCCGATGTTTTGAAGCCAGCAATTTTTTTGTCCAGGTCATTTATCTAATTTAACCAATATCAACCAACTTAAATAATTTGAATTTTATTACTAGCTGATTCTATATATATTTATTTTCATTGGTTTCATGAATTGTTGTGATGAATTAATTAAGAATGCTGCTACCGAAAGAATCATTTTGAATTATCTGTTATCCATAAATTCGTTTGAGCCACATGGCTGAACGTTGTGGCTTGTAAAAGTTGGGAAGAAATTAGATTACACCATGGAAATTTCAAGAAGATAATTCCAAACTTAAAATAAAAAATTCTCACGTTAACACATCGTCAATAACTCTTAATCCTATTGATTCATGATTAAAACTAACACATGCATGTTCTGACGATACGATAAATCTAAACCTAATGGAACCGATTTACTATTTAAATCACAATTAATAACGCAGAGCAGTAACAATAATACAATAGTTGGACCTGATAAATGCAATTTGAAAGGAAAGTGCATTGTTCCTTCTTTCTTGATCATATTTCGATAATTATACAGAGAAATGCAACTGACTTAGTCATAAAACTAAAAAGCAAAAACAATAGCAGAAGAATGTGATCCAGTAATTGGGTGGGGAGGGGACAAATTAGTCATTGATTTTATACGAATCTATTTGACGAACTCTAATTGGTAGGAAACCATAATAGGACATTTTTTCGAATTGTCTATGAAAAAAATGAAAAAACATTTTAAAATTAAAAAAATTCTTACCGAGATATGCACAATCGCCAGAATGTTTTCCTTTGCAGTCATCTTTTTTTTTCATAATCACTTATTTCGTTAAGAGTGAAAGAAATTTAATGAGCTGATATTTCGTCGGCAGTGTCTTATCCCTATGTTGGATCAGAACATAAAGAAAATAACAATCTTACCAGATTGTTGACACTCAAGAGCATTCTCAAAAAATTAAAAAGAAAGAATTGGAGTGGGATTTACTCGACCGTTACAGACTTGGCGAGATTCCTGGGGCAATCGACGTTACAGCCACGGAGCACAGCGATGTGGAATGATAGTAATTGCATCGGGATGACAGTTAGAATGCCTTGGAGACAATCGACAGTCTTTGGTACCTCCAGAGTACTCGATGCCAGGGCTTTTGTTTCATTATCACCTACTTCACAGATTATTATCGGCTTTCCGTCACGTGCTGTTACTTGTTGAAGGGCGTTCATACATTTCTACAAATAAATTATTTAATTTTTTATATTCTTACCATTAGAACCAGTGAAAAGTAATTAAAGAAGTCATATAATGAAACTACGTAACTAATAGATTGAGTTCAGTTAATCAAATTTCATCTTTATACGAAAAATTAAATGCAAATATTTTTTGAGTGGCGAAATAAACTAAATCATAAATGTTAAGTTATGAAAGTAGAAATCAAAAAAATCGTCAAGACTTAATTTTAAGTACAACTAATTTTAATTTTGAAATGTTTGAATAGAATTTCCAAATAATTACAATATATATATTTCTTCTCAATTTTCTATGCTTCCTGTTTAAAGTCATTAAAGTCATTAATGTAGATTTTTGTTTAAGGCCCGGGTGGACTACCTATAGAACGTCATCTTTTGTTTAAATTTTATCTTTCTAGCCTAAAATACATAAAAATTTGGGATAAGTTTTGAGGTCACGAAAATCACTGGATTTGGCATGAAAAAATAATGAAAAAAAAGAGGAAAAAATTTTGAAGG